TGATGCCAGACATACTCTGATAAATTACCTATCAAAATCGGGGAAAAGGCACTAATTTACCCACATCTTGAATAAAATATACCAGCAAAATTTCTAAAAAATTCGAAACAGATTTCAGCAGTAAAAAGGTAACATTTATCGCTAACTTAATATAATAAAAAATTAGTTTCACTGTTTGTTAAAGCCTAGGATTTTGAAGATATTCCCAGCTTTAGAATTTTAGTTTTTATAAAGTTTAGTAACTACTCTGTAAAGGCATATACATTTTAGATATGATCTTTCTATATTAATGTAACGTTATTTATTTACATATGCATCTACATATTTAAACGTGTTTTTTTAATGTTGAATACTTACTGGCTATTCTTTAAAAGTTTCACTGTTACCAATTATATGCATTGTATAAGCGAATATGATTTTTATAGACCTGAATGTTGAACCGCTTGACTTTTTTCACATTCTTGGTTGAATTCTGATCAATTATGCGTCGATAATTGTGTGACATGAAAATCTCTGTTTTATTTAAAATATACCGTTTTCCTTCTTAAAGGCTAACCTAATATTCACGCATGCCGCCAATGTCAAAAATTTCTAATGCACATACAACTTGTACGAAAGTGAACGGCGTGCGTTCTGGTTGACATTTTGATTTGACGTTTCGCTCAATAAAATCAAATGCAAACGCACGCAAGCCAATTTCGTGTGACGCAAAAAACCAATTCGGCGGAGTGCGTACCAAAACGCAAGCCGCGAATATTAGGTTAGCCCGTTAGCAATTTTTGTTGCAAAATATCCCTCTAATATAGAAATTAACGATCTGGCATCACAAATTCGACTGTGTCCAAAAAAGGGTGGCCAAGTTACATAAAGAAAGACCGTCTGAGGTGAAATGTCAAAAGGTGACCAAGTGTAATAGTATGGGAAATTTGCAATAAGGTATGCAGCATACTTTTAGGCGTACGTATCTATTCCACAATCAAAAGGAGACAGCCTCCGGGCCAGCAGAGAAGCGTAAATTTTGCGGGAGTTGCGATCTCGCACAATTTTTCGTATCCGGACACGAACAGGAAACGACTACAATTTTCGTTCATTTACGTATCCGTAAAACGTTTGAAAATCATGGTAACGGCGAATTTATATAAGGTGGTGCTATTAGATCAGCTGATTTTGTGTATGTGCCTCGCCGTACGGCTTCTACACTGGCGATCAAAACTGAGTGCATGTACGACATTTTATTATTTACAGTAACATAACTTTTTTCATAAGTGCATTGGTTTGAAACTTTCTGCAATTGGTCCTTATCTTATCTACGGAATAAAGCCTAGTATACAGAAAAACTAAACTTAAAAAAGAAACAAGCGATTCACAGCAAAACCGCAAGACAACTCTATTCACTCAGTTTTGAGCTTTTCTGTTTTCGAGATTTCGGGAGGTTGATATCAAGACGATTTTGGAGATTCCCTTGTTTTTAATAGCGGTTTTCATACGTCTGGGAATGCTCTCTACTGAGCTTTCTATGATTTCGCTTGGAATATTACCCCATTATAATTTTACTCGCCTCCAAAGCCCTTTCATGTTACTCGGAGCTCGCTAATACTCTCTTGACCACAGCGCTTAATTTTTCGATGGCGTTAAGGTCTGGGATTTATTCTGGTCACTGCATTACGTGAAAATTTTACTCAGGCAGCTGACGGTGTCGAATATTTTCAGAATGCATTGGATCGGAACGGATCTGCTGGCAAACAACAGGGTATGCGTTTTTGTCTGCAAAGTATGGCAAATTTGTTTGGAGAATGTGGAGATAGATTCCCTGGTTCATTATTCCTTTAATATTAACCAACGGCTCCAAATACCAGCAAGTAAAACACACCAAGCCATTAAGCTGACACTAAAATTTTTTAAAAGTCACGAGAGTTGGAGCTTTTGGACTGAAAAGGGGCTTTATTCTTTAGAAAATAAGGACCAATTGCTGAAAATTTTAAAGCAATCCGTTCATAATTAAAAAAGTTATGTTACTGTAAGTAATCAAATGTCGTACATGTAGTCGGTGTTGATCGCCAGTGTAAGTCAAATTGAAAAATTTTTAATTGAATTGAAAAATTTTGTTTGAATTTCCACACACACTCTTACTCAGTTTAATCAGGGTCAATTCTCGTTCTGCGTTATTGCGAAGTGATAAAAATAAACCGCATTTATTTCGGTGTTAATTTTATACTTTTCACTTCACTTTACGATAACGCAGAACGGGAATTGACCCTCTGATTGCACAAGGAAACATCGCAAATATGTGCCGACCAAATTTTTTGGTAACGTGTCAAACTCACTTCAACCGCAAGGAAGCACTTTTTCAAATTCGACTGACATAATTCTACTGCATCAAACAAAACCATGCATTTATCTTGTTATTATTACTTTTTATTATTTTTTCTTATATTTAAACTAAAAGTATGTAGAATAGATACAAATACGTTTTTAAAATACATAGTTGATTTGAAACGATAAGGAATAATTTTTTGAGGTGACTTGCACATAGAGATTTTATTTTTGCTTTGCATAGGTGTTTCATTCGTTTTTGATACCTAAAACAATGTTCCTCAATTACAGTTGAAAACTAAGTACCGAATCTTACTATTAGCAACACATCATGATTCCTTTGTAGCGTTTGGTGGTAAGTGAAATGTAATCGCAAACAAATTTTGCACAACTATGCCACACATATGGATATAATTGTAGGATTAACTACGCATGCTTTCAGCTTATAAACAAATAGTTAATAGTATAATGTCGATTAAGTTTTTAAAATTAGTTGCTAAATTAAAATATGCCAAAATGCATTTCATAATTCAAATCAAAAACATTTACCAATATCACAATTGTATTTGAATTCTTTGAGAATTCAATTCAATTAAGTTTTGCGTGTACATATTATGTATAATAACAAAGTTAACCTACATACAAGTATTTATTTACACATATTGTATTTAGTTATTGTTTGTTACCAATGTCTATATATTCGTGTAAAAGTAGCGTATAAAAACTTTATCGGCTAAAAGTAAGTAGTCGCTTACATACAGGTGTCTATTTTCCAGTGCATGTTTATAAAAAGTGCGTTTCGGCGGCAACAAGTTCACCACAGAATCCCACGCTCTCGTTTGTTCCACATTACTTAAACGATTTCACCACTGGCACCATAATTTAAGCCATTATTACGATGGTGATGATGATGATGTGTATCGATGTGGTCTTGCTCCATTTGTTCCTTCAAAATCTCCAATTCTCGTATGCCCGAAACGGTAACTTCGTATTTGTGAGTAACGAGCGAACGATAGAAGTGTATCGCAAACGCTAGGAAGACTATCATTACCGGAATAAGTACGATGCATGCCGACCAAGCGGCTGGTTGACTTAAATCATAAAATTTCACCCAACAGAGAATGGCTATCTCTAGGAGGAAGAGTATGAGGCCGAGAAGAGTAGAAAATGCCCAGGCGGTTTCAATGTACCAATGTAGACGTTCATGGGGAGACTCGTGCACCAGGGAGATACTATGCAAGTTGCAAACAGTTTCAATGTTTGGCAAAATACAGGTGCTGATCATAAGCGCCAACATGTGAACAGCAACGAGCAACGTGGTGCAGATGGCGAATGCGACAAGCATGCCGGCAGGCACTTTGGTGCTACTATCCAATTGAACCTCAACCATGGCGACCTATAAGATATAGAAAGATTTTTTTAAATGTAAGTGTAAATAATTCAGTAATAGATAATAACGAACATGATTATTAACTTTATTTCGAAAAATTATTGATTCGTTTAAAAAATACATATGTACTAGGGCTGTGCGATTATTCGATTACTCGAGCAAGTTGGTTAATCAATTATTCGGTTAATCAATTACTCGAGTAATCAAGATTTTGATTACTCAAAATGATGATTAATCGAGTTACTTGAAATATGATTACTCGAAAAAATAATTTTGCTCGTTAAAAGAGTTTGCTTTGGAAAATGCTTATTTTCTTTTTTACATTCTGTATATGAAAAAAAATTTTCGCTTTAATTTTTGAAAACAGAAACGTTGTTTCCAAAGTATCAACGAACTTTAACTACTTTATACATATGTAAAGAGTTGAAATGTTGATTACTCATTTTACTCGAAATGTTGATTAATCATAAAGCAACTTACTCAAATATTTTTATTTTTTGTTAATCAAAAATCTTGATTACTCGAGTAACTGAACTTTTGAGTAATCATAATTTCCAATTAATCGAATAATTGAGTTATTTACTTTACGATTAATTAAAATTTTGAGTAATCAATTAATCGCACAGCCCTAATATGTACATTAGCGTTGGCCGAAAATTCACTTTTTTAGAATTTTGATTGGTAACAGCAAAAATATGTTTCATTATGCTCTAAAAAAAATCTGTGTGCAAGATTAAATTTTTTTGTCAGTATCTTAGGCTCGTCCAAGTCCATCAAAGTTCAGGAGCTAAAAAAAAAAAGTGTTTCTTAGCTTACTTCGATTCTCTGCAGAAAAGGTCCATATACCAAATTCTGTAGGACTAATACTTTTGAAGATAATTGCAATTTTTGTAAACAAAATATTAATTAACTTATTTTTTGAGCACATTGAACTTTGATGGACTTGGGCGAGCCTAAGATATTGACCAAAAATTTTCATCTTTCACATAGATTTTTTTTGGATTACCAATCAAAATCCTTAAAAAGCGGGTTTCCGACCCACGCTAATGTACATACACCTGCAGTCCAAATAATAGCACCTCAACAATTACAGTTATTACACAAATTAAATAAATCAAGAAATATTCAGCAAAAATTTCAAGCTTTGCAATCAGAATTTTTAGAATTTCCTTTGGTATACAGTTTTATAAAGTGTGTATTAGAAGCGGCTAAAAATTCGCGATGATTTTTAATAATTTTTTGCTGACAAAAGTGTCGTAATCCAAAAAATTAAAATCTCGAGAAAAAACGATTTTAATGTTTACAGTTTCATACGCTCTCATAGTGAAGAAGATGCGTGGAACCGTCAGCCAAAAAACAAAAAAAATTATCAAAAATCAATGCGATTTTCTAGCAACTTTAAACTTACACTTCATTATAAGTACTAAAATTTAATGTACTATACAACTGCACACCAAAAATGATGATAAAAACGTTTGAAATTTTTGGTGATTTTTTTTTAATTTTTGTACAAAGTGGGTTTTACTTTTGTTCAGCTATAGTTTTATAAAAAATTAATGAACATTAAACAAAAAAAAAAGAGTCAAGACTGGTAAAAATATTCAGGTGCTTCAGGTAAATTAAGGTAAATAATTTACGGCATTTTTAAGTCACTGACTTCAATCTTCGCACTGCCGATTTAATGGTCTTTCTTTAATCGTTTAGGAAAACTTTCGTAAATTTTTGGAATCGCCCGGGTTCATGTGATTTACACAGCCCTCAATGCCATAAATAATGGAAGAAGTATGAAGTTGAATGAAGCCATTCATTTACTGAAATAAAAGCTGGGAAATTTTTACTTCACCACTTTTGCTTAAATCTCGCTGCTTGTGCTGGCACAGAACACTGTTGAAAACACCATAGGGGTATTCTTGAAGTCTTGCAAAGCGCTTGCACGGTGCACGGATTGCAAGGTTTGCCAAGCTGTCACATCGAAAATGCTTCATGCTGTAATCAAATGATATTACAACTTTTTCGGCATCCTTATCAACAAATAGAAGTTGATACTCGCGCCCCATATTACACGGAAAAAATATTTTGTAACCCTTTAACGCTTAATTACGCTGATTAATACATGTCCGAAGATCGGATTCTCAGTGTACTTTGTCCAATACACACGAAGGGATACCAAGTAGTTTGCGTCAGTTATCGTGGAATAAGCCTTCTGAATATTGCCTATAAGGTCCTGTCGAAGATACTGTGCGAAAGACTAAAGCCCTTCATGAACCAACTGATTGGACTTTATCATTGATCAAATCATTCGTATTCGAACACCTGGTACTATGAATTCGTATTAGCCCGTGTCGCCGTTCGAATCGCAAAACATAGTAAACCACACAAGCTTTTAGACAAGGCGATTCACTCACGTGCGACTTTTTAAATCTGCTGCTGGAAAGCATAACGAGAGCTACCAATCTAAGTCGCAGCGGCACCATTCATAAGAAAATAATGATGCTGTTGGCGTATGCAGATGACATCGATGTCGTCGGCCTGAAGCTTAACGCAGCATTTTCCAGCTTAGAAAAAGAAGCTAAAGAGGTTGGTCTAGCGGTGAACGAGGACAAGACAAAGTACCTCCTGGGACACACGTCACTGTTGGCAGTTATAACTTTGAAGTAGTTAAGGGCTTTGTGTACCTAGGATCCATCATAAACATAACTAATAACGTCAGCATGGAAAGCAAGCGTAGAATAACGCTTGCCAACAGCCGCTACTTTGGGCTCGGTAGGCAATTGAAAAGCAGAGCCCTCTCTCGTTCTTTTCTATGGCGCAGAAAGATGAACAATGATGAGAAGGCTTTGGGTGCTTTCGATAGAACTATTCTACGCAAGTTCTTCGGCCCTGTTCGCGTGGGTGACGGGTACACAAGATGGCTTGTGTATATTGTACGCATGGATGTCCAATGAAAAGATCCTTTGACTAGGTAGAAGGACCTATACCTATCTCCACTTGGGCAGATCCAACTGTCGCAAACCCGCACAGGAGAGATACGATTGGCGAATTTTTTTGCTTGTAGTGCCAAATAAAAGTAGAGGCTTCAAAAAATTTAGCTACTGAAGTGATCACAAGTTTTCTTCACTTGTAAAATGTAGCTCTGAAAGAAGATCTTCACATCCACATATCGTAAGTATAGTATGAAAAAGCCACAACTTACATCGTCGCTGAAATACAAAAAGCCGTAACTATCTAAAAATCCAACACTCACTGTTTGATTCGTTTTGTGCAATAAAAATTTTTAGTAAGTTATGGCCCTTTTGCATTTCAGAGACGATGGGAGATACGCCTTTTCCATACTATACTAACGTAAAATAAATAACAACTAAATCTTGTCAATTAGTAGACGATGTAACAATAAAAATTAAATTCTGTGCCTACGTCTTTCTCAAGAAATAATGAAGGTTATTTAGTTGCGACAGTTTGTATTTTACACGCTGTAGAAAAAGTGTTTATATTATGGACGGTAAATTGGTACATTTGATATTAATTGAATGAGACGTGAAAGCGATAACGCTGGAATATATGTATAATTTTTTGAGCATAAAGAATTCTCATAAATACTTATAAAAGCCCTGCCGTAGTGACATTTACAAACCGATGCCTCGTATTTGGCATAGCCTTGCACGCTAGCATAGGAAATGCTGGATCAAGGAGTACTTGTCTGCATAATAATCAACAACTTAACCTTTGAGTTGAAATAAAAAAAAAACTGAAATGTGCTGGGCTATGCCTTTGTTCAGCGAAAATAGTCAGTATGATGTCCTCTTTCAAAATGATACCATCGTTAGTCTGTTGCAAAAAAAGTTTAAATTTGTTGGACTGTGCAATTATTGCTACGGTCTACAATTTCAATATACCCAGTGATTCAGTCAAAGTACAGCAAAGTGCAGCTTTATTCTACAGAGGAATATTGCAACCAGCCCGTGGCGATACCGAGGTCTGATATTAATATTCGTCATTCCGTTACTTACTTTGTAGAAGTTGTTCGATTCGAATGAAGACATGTTCAGTTCAGATATTTCTTTAGCTGTTAGCCAGGTGGTTGTGTGTGGGAACAATGTTTTCATGTGTTAAGTAAATAAATGCATTAAAATGTTTGCATTACTTTCTGATCGGTTGCACATGAAAAGACAAAATTAATGCTCTCGATGCTGCCCTGCCAAAAACTTAGAAAAACAAGCAAGCGGGAAAGAAAAGGCAAAATGAAAGACGACGTGCATCGTAACGGTGAATGAATTTCATGAAATCACAGCATGACTGACTCGCCATCGGGTGGACGTCGTCGCAATGCATCGGGGACGGGAAGCTGTTTCTATGAAATTAATTAAAAAGAATTCGTCAACAAATGCAGACAGAAGTACCACTAGGAATTTGTGTGAGTTTTTTGTTTTTTTTTTTACTTTGTTTATAGATGATAGTGCGATAGCACATAATTTTGCCTACATACATTTGTATGTACATACTAGGTATGTACGTATGCATCAGTTGAACAAAAATGCTGCGCTTGTTGTTTATATGCAACTAAAAATAACAAGAGACATGGGAAATTTATTATCTGCACAAAGGGTTCAAGGTTTATTTGAAAAATTGAACGAAAGCGATATAAAAATATTTTAATTTACAAATAAATATGAAATCCATGTGTGCGTAGTTGAATAGAATGGTAGACATTAGGTTTGTTCGTCGAGCAAAAAATTTGTACGAATTTGTACGAATTATCACGATTTTTGCCCAAATCGCGTTCGTGCAGACCAAAAAATTATCCAACACTCAAAAATTGGGAGAGCAAAGTGACAGTTCTCTTGGAGAGAAGTTGCAAATTCTTGCTGGAAAAAATTTTGCCAGCAAGAATTTGCAAACACGAAAAACATGTGGTTGTGGCGCATGGTTGCATTTTTGTCTACAATAATTTGAATAAATGAGTTCGTTAAATTTAAAAATTTATAAACACGAGCGATTTTTTTATGAAAAATGGAAGTAAATAATTGTCGATATAATTTATTTAGTAAATTCCAATGATTTGAACTTAATTCGGCTGAAAAAAATGGTATTCGCAATCGGAATGCAATTGCAACCAGAGTCGATTTAAGAAACCCGACAGCTAGTACGATGAAGAAATTGAAATGTATGTTAAAGAAAGTCAGAACAACAAGAAATATACATGTATGTATATCCTGTTTTTGGCCATCCGAAAGAATTTTAAAAATTCTATAAAAAATTTTTTATGTTTGAAATGCAACCGTGGACGCCAGCTGGCAGGGAAACTTGCAAATTCCTGCAAATTTGCGTTCGTGCAGAAATTTGCAAGTTTCTCAACATGAGAGAGAATTTTTTCTTACTCTCTGATATTTTGAGTGTTGGATAATTCTTGCTGGATTTTCGACGAACAAACCTATTATTACATATTTAAACTAAGATATAGAAAGTTCTCTTTCTAGGCTTTTCAATACACTGCACATACATACTACATAGTTCTAAATAAGTTGAGGAATTTCTCCTGTACTCACCATTGCAAATCCTGAGAGTAACGCCGACGTCTTGCTGGACGCCTTTAGTTTGGCTCGGCTCAGCTGCAGCTTCCGCCATGACAAATAGCTGGGTGAATGTAGATCGTCTCCAGACTGCGACATGCTGGCGCTAGTTGTACGTCGTGGCTGTAAACGAGAGAAATGATGAAAGGAGCGTAACGGCGGAGGATGCGATTGAGGCGCTTGTTGCGTCTGTGGTGGTGGCGGCGGTGTTGGTGTCAAAATCGAAGATGGCGGCAGCGAACTGAAACGATTACTTGAACTCGAATTTAAATTGAGATAACGCGCAGAGACGGCACCGAAACTTTTTTGCGATACTGCACCGGGACTACCGGATTTCACGAGGGAATTTTGAAAACGTAGCGGACGACACGAATCGCAAAGGCTGTAGTCGTGCGGCAAATACGACGAATAACCACCTCCGCTTAGGGCGGGTGGCACGCTGCCCGCTGTGGAGGGTGGTGGCGGCGATGAATGCGCTAGCACTAGTGGCACTGACGGCGGAGGCGGCGAAGGCGTCGATGTGGTGTAGAGTCGTGTTCCAGGCGTAAACGATTGCTTCTCCGAAGGCGTGGCGGCTCTAAAGCCACTGGGCACGATTATGGGTGTTGCGGCCGATGCAAATGTTAATGGCACGATGGCGTCGAGCGTTTCGTTGCACTCGACCGCTGCACTGTCTTGCGAGATCTGATGCAGCAGCAGGCTGCTGTGACTTAGGTTGGTGCGCTCATAACGCAAATTGGAATAGGTTTCACTGTCGAGCAACAACATTTGTTGCATTTGCTCGAGCTGTTGTTGTTGGCGCAATCTTTTCGACAGTTTTGTTTGCTTTTTCGTTGACGGCGATTGCCCCTGCGCATGTGTTAGTGGCTCTGCCGCTTGAGCAGCGCCACCGCCAACTAGATGCCGTATGGTGGCGAACATTTGAGCCAACGAATATTTTTTGCCACCAAAAACGAAAGACCCTTATCTTTGTATGTGTGTGTACGAATCTACTTGTCGTATGTAGCACTTATTGAAGAGTATTTTTATTTTGGTTTTAGCTCTAGATTTGCAACGCTTGCGTTCGTTGTTGTTGTTTGCGTTGTTGAAAGTGAGCTAATTTTTTGCTGATTAATTAAGGGCACTGCGGCATTTACGTACATGCATATGTGTAAACCTTTCCAATGCATATAATTTTAAAATTCACATCTACTACAATTTATTTGGTGAAAGAAAATCGTGTCATCGCAGATTCAGACATACATAAGCATGCATGTAACTGTAAATGTAAAGTATTCGAACTACAATACGACACACGTGGGTCCCTAATAAAAACTCGACAAATATCCGATTTAAAATAAAATATTTGAAATACATTTGATTGTGCTGGCAAGCAAACATGCAGCCATAAATATGTACATTAGACTGTATCACTCCCCATACAAAAAAAGAATCGGTACTGTTTTTCCATTGGAATTATAAAATCTACTATATTTTAAGACGTCCACCAAAATATTTCGAAAAAATATTAAGTTTTAAGTGAGCTGGACCGATTTGAAAATACCTCCAAAGATGGAGCTTTTTATGAATAAAAATAGTTTCTTGAAGATTTTTTTTTTTTAAATCCCCTCAAATGACAAAACGGTTTAAACTTAAAAAATTTGCGTAAAAATATTAAAAAAAAAATTGAACGGAATAATAAGATTTTTGATGCTGTTTTTAACTTTTTTCGAAAATTGGTATAAGAATAACTTGAACGATGTAGACTTGTGAGATATCATTGGAAAGGTATTTTCTCATCCTTTTTATTTCTTTGCTAATAAACTCATTCAATGGATGAAAGAGAAAGGTATGATGAACGAAAATCATTCAAAGTTGAATTAAGATGTGTTGGTGTTTGAAAAAAAAATATTGGGACCCGAATGACTTTTTCTAAATCAGAATAGTTTTGGCCCAGTTATTTAAATTTTTCGTAAATCAATCTTTGAAAAAAGTTAAAAAACAGCATCAAAAATCTCATTATTACGATTCCGTTGAAAAGATTTCTAAATATTTTTATGCAGAATTTTTAAGCCTAATTTGTTTTGTCATCTGAGGGGACTTTTTTCAAAAAGTTCTTTAAGAAGATATTTTTATTCATAAAAAACTCAATTTTTGGAGGTATTTTCAAATCGGTCCAACTCGCTTAAATCTTAATATTTTTCCGAAATATTTTGGTGGACGTCTTAAAATATAATAAATTTTATAAACCCGGCGGAAAAACCGCAACATTTTTTGGTGATGCAGTCTAATGTACATATGTATGTACATACCCACTGGGAAAATAAGTAAGCACCTTACGAGGTAATTCATGTTTTCTTTCAGCTTTTACATCTGCGATAACGCCTTACATTGTAAGTTGCAAAATAACGTACCGCCCAAGTAATTTCCGAGTGCCGAACTACTCTGAGCGGCTACTCTACATTCTACGTACATACCTTACTTGGTAAAGCGGCTCAGAAGTATGCCTGATACCAAACGTACATTCTAAATTCCTACTTTTATAAGGCGGTTGACGGCAGGGAAGATGTAAGGACCGCCGGGTGAAGTATAAGTTGCTGGTAACACATTATTAAGTGCTCCCATTTCCTACTGGGTAGTAGAACTTTTTTATTGTAGCTATAACTTAGCTTTTTGAACGGGAGAGGGAGCACTCAAAACCCCTTTAAAGATTATTTTTCGCGTGTCTAATTGTTACTAAAATCATACTAAAGGCATTGGCTCAATGTACGCTTGCTTTGCTTGCTTCGCTTTGAAAACAGTCAAACATTTTTTGAAGCAATAATAACTACTCATCAATAGTTTCGTGAAAAATCGCTTTTCTGAGTTAAGAGTTTTTTACATGTAAATAAGCTAGTATTAATTATTTCATTATTATCTCTTCTTTGAAATGAAAATCTGAAAAGATTAGGAGCTAAGACGATGTTCTTATTATTTTTAATTCATGTTGTATTTTGAAGGAAATAATTCTTAATGTTAACGGAACAGATTTTAACTTCGCAACCACACAGCTGATTGGTTTGACAGCGTTCCAAGCTACATTTGGCTAAACAAGCTTTTAAAGTATAAAGCCCTAATATTGGCAGTCACTGCCGCAGCAAACACAACGCGGCGTTGTCAGTGACCAGTGACTGCCTTTTTGACATTCGTTTTTGTTTGTTTACAATTTTGTTGTTGCCATTTAGGCTTCAGTGACATAAACAGAAGTTGGCTGCCTTGCATTTATGTCAAATTCAACATGCGAAGTTTGCTGCCATGAAGACAGTGGCAGTGAATTTAGAATTTGGGCTAAATTGAGCAGTAGTGCTAGCTGCCACTGCTATATTGTGAGTCGCTTCATTGGACAACACACTTTCTAAAAAAAAAACAGCTGATTTCGAAAAACTGCCGCTGCCACCGCCACTGCGTTATTGTATTTTGGGCTTAAATTAAAGCGAACTAAAGTCAGTAAGGCGGAAAAGCAAGTCTACATTGGGCCAGCACCTTAAGAAACTAGCCCAGGCTCATGACTTTCTAGTTAGAAAATTCTTCTTGAATTGTGGCTCTCTTGCATAGGGTGTGCGATGTGTCAATACTATGTAGGGCTTCAAGGACGTCGCAAATTCCTAAATGATGACTGCTATGAAACTATTTCAAAACCTGGGCTTGTTCGAGCTGCAATCACAACCGCAGTGTTGCGCGAATTATTAATGTATCACGTTCGGTGTGAATTTCTAGCAACGTATTGTCAGTTGGGCAGTTACAACAGTGTTGCAAATTTTCAATATTTGCGTGCCTCGAACAGGTGCCTCGATCCGTCTACGTGGTGCATTCAGCCAGCCAGACTAACCTAAGATTTTTAATCGTGATCTTTAAAACGAAAAAAAATTCGGATGAATGCATTAAAGAAATATTAATATTATATTAGTAATCATTACAAAAAATCAACTATTGAATCTAAAAATTTTAAAAAATATATACATATGTACATATTAGCTAATTTCGGATCGTTAATTTCAAAAATTAAATCAAAAATTAAATAAAGCTCTTAGTTTTACTAATATTTTTCAGCGACTGAAAAGGCGTTCCAGTTTTGCTTTAGTTCTGCGGGACAACAAAATGTAATGTCAAGAACGTTCCCACAAAGAGCCAACGGGAACAAAAATATTGAGAGCAGTTTGAACGGAAACAAAATTTGAAAAAAAGTTTTGGAAACGTTTCCATAAAGAACAAAATGCGAAAAAAAACTCTCGCGAACGGTCACAAAAAGAATTGAATGAGAACGAAACTTTCGGGAACATGTCCAATAAGAACAAAATAGGAAGGAAAGTGTGGGGACCGTTAACGTTAAGAATGAGAGGGGCGTCTGGGTGTTGGAATCGAAAATCGTTTCAATGAGAACCACGATTGCTAATTCTTACGTAGAGGAAAGCTGGATTTTTTCAACCTCCAGATCGTTGATCATTAGTGTGCACTGTCCATTTATGGAACAATTTTTCATATTCTGTGCAAGAAAAGTTCGTATCTTAAGTCTTTCGTTGACTTTAATTGCATTATTACCTTTCTGTTTTTGTTTTTTTGGTGATTAATTTCAATATGCAAACATTTCATATTATTTCCATTCTTCGTGAATAGTTCAGAGAAGATTTGTTGTCGTTTCGTTCTCTGCCAGAAAAATCCTGAGACTTCTGTTCGCGTTTTGTTCTCTTAGAAATGTTTCCGGAAGTATTGTTTGCATTTTGTTTTCTTTGGGAACGTCCCCCAGGGTTTGTTCCTATACAATTCCCGTTCATAACGTTCTCGACAGTTTTGTTCTCATTTCGATTTTGGTTTTGAAGCGTTCTTGGGAACAAAACTACGAGCACGACATTTAGTTTCGATCAAACCTTTTGCTCTCGGTCGCTGAAATTTTTCAATACAGTTAAGTGTTTGAGTACTAGTACCTCCTGAGTGGTACAGAAGTGGAAAAAATGAGAAAGTTTTGGGACATCTATTAGAGGCGATGCCAGATTTAGAAAATGTGAATGCTCGTGATATTGATGAACGCGTCAAAAATATATGTTAAGGGCTTCGGCGGTTTTGGGAAGAGGCTCATAGGGTAAAAGAAACGGGAAAATCAAGCATTCGACCTAGTTGGATGTGACAGAAGTTGTATTTTTACCAAAACATGCTACCAAATTGCAGCCTGCATCATTAAAGCCACATAAATTAAGTTTCAAAGTTTGTAAAAAATTTAGGAAAATTCAACAAATTTTCATCAAAAGTTCTAATTTCATAATCTGAGTTTTTAGAAAATTAGCAGTTTTATAGGTTATGAAATTTTAGTATGATAAAGGGCAAGCTTCAAGAGGTTGAAAATTCGCGTTGATTTTTTAAATTTTATAGCTGAACGATCTTTCGCATTTTCTTCCATAAGAACACACCCCATGAATTCAATGCAAATACAGTTACTACCATGTTCATATCAACTCATTTTCTTGTTTTTAGTTTAAATATAGCATAAATTGAGCTCATAAAAATTTAAAAAAAAAAAATACAAAGTTGAGAAATTCAGCGTTATTATATAGTAAAATATCGTAGAATTTGTATCTTCCGAAAATACCAATACATGGGAGGTCAGCGTGGTTGTTGACGGATGCCAAACAAGTTTTGAATGGGGCTAACAGTAATGAGTGTACTAAGATTGAATGAAATCGGTTAGGCGGGTACACATATTTCATGATAAGTGGGCTTGACCACGCCCATTTAAACAAATTTATGAAATACTACATTTTTTGCTTAAAGTTCACTCTACGCATAAATTTTTAGTAATTTGGCTGCAGTAGTTACTTAAATATCGCATTTTTCGTTTTTATTTTTTTTCCAAAAATACCTTATAAGGAAGGCAACCGCAGTTTTTTTCCGATTTGACCCATTTTCATTACCAACCTAGTCTAGACAAAGAGTAACAAGTGTACCAAATTTTATTGCGAAATATTATTTAGTTTCCGAGAAAACGAGCCCGTTGACCGTTACTCCATACAAGCTGAACCACTATGCACAGTTGTTTTAACAACAAAAGCTCTTATTTTCGAAAAAAGCGTCACAAAAAAAATCTCAAAAATCAACGGCATTTTAAGCAGATGGAACGGGAAAATGACTTTGAAAATAGCGCGGACAATCGATAATCGACTAACAGTCGTTAACAGTCTACTACTAGTCGACACTGGCAATACGGGTGATAGATAAATTATGTAATGTCTTCTTAGTATCAAGTTTTTGCTGCTCCCAATTCGAGCCACCTTTAAGACTTATTAAAAGTTTATTTTGAGTGCTTAGCGATTTTCGGACGTTATTTATTTCTAATCTTGCTATTGTTGAATTCCTTTTACTTTTTATTTCATCTCAAGCATTTGAATGAAATAATTTTTAAAAATTAAATGT